TCAGCAGCACCAGCTCCATGCCTGTGTGGGCCCGGAAGCGCTCAGCAGCCCCGACCACGGCCTCCCACAGATCCTCGGGGCGCCCGGACGCCATCCGCCCCCTGCGGGCAGAGCAGGACAGAGGGGTGAGACTGGGCGGACTGCACTGTCCCCACTCAGCCCCGGGTGTCCACCTGTCCCTAGACACCCACCCCTCCGATCCACCTATCCCAGCTGAGCTCAGCATCTTCCCCCAAACCCACCATTCCCCTAGAATTCCTCCCCATCCAGACCTCAACCGCCCAATCCCACCCCCCTGCCCCTGTCTCTCCTCTTGGACCGGCCTTTGGGAGCCACCGGCCACAGGTGAGCGAGGAGCACCGGAGACAGGGCAGGTCCAAAGTGACAGGTGCTGTGTGTGTGAGCCACACTGGGATGCAAAATACAGAGGGGCCTTGACTTACGAGTTTAATTCGTTCCGTGACGGAGCTCGTAACTCAAATTACTCGTATGTCAAATCATTAAAGTGAACGAGTGAGACACATGATGCTGGGCTGATGTGGTGGCGTTCACTGTGCCGTTCGCTGCGCCAACTAGCGGTGGGGTATCTGAAGCTGGCTCGTAACCCGAATTTTAGCTCGCAACTCAAAGCAAAAAATTGGCCGAGAGACGGCTCCTATCTCGAAAAACTCATTAGTCGGAACACTCGTACGTCAAGGCCCCACTGTACCTCGAGGGCAATCGGAGGGTGATTGCTTGTTGAAATGGTATTTTAGGCAAACTGACTAAATTACATAGTGAAAATGAACTTCATCTGCTCTCTTTTTACTTTTTAAACGTGGCTGATGGGGATTTTGAACTAGGTGTACGGTTAGTATTGTATTTCTATTGGACAGCGCTGCCCTGCCCATCCAGCCTTTTCCGGTGCCTTCCAGCCTCCAGTCCGGCCAGCACATGGCCCTGCTGGGTCCTTCCAGCCTGGAGCTGCCCCTGCCCCTCCCCAGAACCCCGAGGACAAGCTCACAGCCCTTTGCAGACTTCTGAGGCCGTGGTCAAGGTGCCTTCCCCCCACATCTGGACCACCGGCCTTCCATTTACTTGTCATTCTTTCCCTCACCTCTAGATCGCGGCAGCCCCCGCACCTTGCCCTGTGGACTCCCCAATATCTGAGTGACGCCCATTCTAGGACATCTCTCTCTGGGGAGTACTGTCTGGATCCACACCCATCTCCCCAGCCAGTGTGGGAGCCCCTGAGGGCGGGCCTGTTGGGCTCATCTCTGAGCCAGCAGCAAGCCTGGCCCAGCACGACCGGCTTACAGGTGGGGCTGGTCAGAAAATGGCGTACGAGCTCCGGTTTGCACCTGGGCCCGAAAAACTTTTGTCTTTACTACAAGACTGTTAAGCCCCGGCTGGTTTGGCTCAGTGGATAGAGCCTCAGCCTGTGGACTGAGGGGTCCCAGGTTCAATTCCGGCCAAGGGCACATGCCCGGGTTGCCGACTTGATCCCCAATAGGGGGCGTGCCGGAGGCAGCCGATCAATGATTCTCTCCCATCATTGATGTTTCTATCTCCCTTTGTCTCTGAAATCAATAAAAATGTATTTTTTTGAAAAAACTGTTTCTCAAAACCGAGGCACCCAGGTTCAACAATAAAGAAACATTCTTTAAAACAAGGCACCCAGAGCTCACCCTGGCCGAAGCCACACACAATGAGAACCACCAGCACCAGTCCCGACAGGCCCCGGAGCACTTGCCTCGTGCCAGGCAGGGGCCCGAGGGTGCCACCCACGTGCTCATCCCACCCTCTCACCAGCCCTACGAGAGGAGCTGTTATCACCCCGTTCACACTGAAACGGAGGCCCAGGGAAAGCCTGCTTTGGGACCAGGGCCAGACAGCCGGAGTCTGAAGCCACACCCTTTTCTGAACACCGGATGCCACCCTGCCTTCCTTGTGAGGAAAGGTGTATGACCTCCCAGTCAAGATGGGGAAAGTGAGGCTCGGAGAGCTTCCGGCGCTGGCCTGGAGGCTCCAGCTAGACAGGGTAGACAGGACTAACACTGCTGTCTGCCCAGCACCAGAACCTAAGAGTAGCGGGAGGTGCTCAGGGCCTCACAGCCCCTGAACCCCATCTGAGGGAGGACCCTGAAGCCGGGGGCCGGGAAATGACTGGTCCCAGGTCACACAGCCTAGCAGTGCGAGGCTTGATGTTCTCACTTCCTTGGGTCACCAGGGTTAGCTTCCTCTCTGTCCTAGACCTTAACATAACGCCCGGGCTGCAAAGAGAGTAATGGGGGTGAGCCCCCCACCCCCCATCTCAGAGCATGCACAAAAAGGAGGGGGTCCAGGCAGACCTCTCTGGGGACTCACTGGAACCAGTTACCCAAGAGGAAAGAAACCAAGACGTGGGGAGTCTCCAGTCCCTACAGCTGCGGGAGCTAGTCCTGCACCCTGCAAAGCGCTGAGAGATGAAGCCCCTCTCCTCAATTGGGGCAGTTTAAGATTAGGGAGAGAGGGAAAGGAAGGGAGACCTGTCCCCCGGGAGGGCAGGGAGAGGTGAGGGGACCGGCCTCTTAGGAAGAGGTCAGGAGGTGAGGAAGCTGACCCCAGGAAGGAAGGGAGGCTAGTGGAGCCCCGCTCCCACCACCTGTCAAACTGCAAGTGCCACCCCCAGCCTCCCGCTCGAAGGTGGGAGGCACTCGAGGATGCACCCGCGGACCCGCGCGGGGTGATTGCCTGGGGTCTCTCTCCACCGCCCGGAGACGCCCCCAGCTCGCCCGGGGGCCAGCGGAGACCCTTCTCCAGAAAGAAAACAGGAAATCCCGCCCCGTGGGGGACAGAGCCGGAAGTCCCTCCTTCAGACGGGTGAGGGCGTCCCGAGACGGTCCCCCCAGCACCCCCCAACCCTAGAGATCAGGTTCACAGTCAGAGAATCCTGATGGACCTGGAGACCGGAACATACGGCTGCCCAGGGTTCGTCTCGGCTCAGACCCGGCGGTCCATGCCAGCCACCGCTCCCCAGCGCTCAGCGAGCGGGCGCTGGGCGACCTCTGCCCCTGGGCACACGCCGGCTCCGTCACTC